TAATGTGCACTACACATCATGGTTGTAGTCTGCATGTTATTTGATCATGATAGGTTAGTCTTAGACTCCACTTGAGACCTAAGATTTATAACCTTATAAATATGTCAGTCACGCAAGTCTTAGCTAATCGTGGAGCTTGTGGACTGATTCACGGAATATTACTGAAACTTGTGACGGTAGCGTATTTTCGTAGAGGGTAAGTAGTAGATCATGCTTCATTTTTTTTTAATGACATAAGCCGGTAAACGAGCATTCGGATCACCTGATGGTAAGCAATCGGCGTCGCCCATGGACACCTAGAACACCAGAGGCGTTACAAGTGCGTTACTGGCCTTTTGGGATTGGCCTGATTAGGAGTTTGAGGATTGTTGAAGATTCGGGGATTGGGGAGATTGGGGAGGGGGTTAATTGGGCCTCCGGTAAACTCACTCACACGACGAAACACAACGTAAGCGTTGTTTCACGTCGGTTTTCTGCTCGGCCGTGGTATCTCTATCTGTACTCCGATCGAGCTGGCCCATTCGTGCCGAAACATGGCTCTCTCACACTCGTTACTGCTACGAAAGAGAAATTTAGTGTAAGTTCAATAAATAATAATTAAACTACGGTACAATCCTTAAAATCGATTAAGAATGTTATAGAAATATAACGTGTCGGAAACATACAACGCGGTAGACGTATTGTACCTCTACCTACTTGGTAATAATAACACACACTTGTTCAAACAGTTGACAAACAGCCACAAAGGCGACTAAACTGTTGACAATTATTTAATTGATCGGCGCGAGCGCAACGCCAAGTACAACAAGTGTTTCCACCCAATCATGTGCTAGCAAAGAACTAAAACAACTCGTTTGCAACTAGTCCCCGCTCCTGGGTACACTCGGTATTTATGTATTTTTAACTACGTGAGATATGTTTTGACCACAGACGTCGCCCACGGTTCTAATTTTATTACCCATATATTTAATGATAGAGCCTGCGATAAAATGCCAATGATCAGTTATTAGCATCGGTATTAGAATTTCACTCAAACGCCATTTTGAAATTGATCGGTCTTCTGACATTTTGTTTTTTTATCTTTTATCAAAGCCACATTAACGTAGTTTTATTTATTCTAAATAAATTAACATCAATTATAAAGGAATTCAAGGTTGGAAATAAAACAATGATGTGACATCTTTATTCTATTCATTCACAGAACGAAACACAGTGGTGTAAAATTCGCAAAATCTGGACAAAAAATTAAATAGTTTATGTTTACGCAACGTGCACAATTTGCACAAATATAAACAAAGGCAGCCATAAATTGTCCTATTGTCATTTAGTACAATGTATAACAAAACTTTAGAAATACGTAGAATGGCGTAACAGAACAAAATAATATCCCGAGCACTTTTACTCAAAACTTTCATTGTGATACAAGAATGCTGTTTTTTGTGTAACAAAACTGACTTCGCAATACTGAGTTATACATATCAATACGTTTTCTCACAGTTCGATTTTAACCGTAAAAATGTACGTCCTCGCAAACCATTTTCTAAAATCCCATCACAAATTCGCACGAAAACAATTCAGAAGGTAACTAAAGCAGCAATAAAGTGGTATCCAACGTGGCCCAACAGAACTATCGCACAAACATTCGTTCACTTTTAACGTAAAGGGTGGCAACACGTTATCTTGAGTCGGCACAGTGGTCCCACCGCATCTGTCCGTACATAAATCTGTCGCATATGAAAAGAATTAAAACGTTCCCTATTGTAGACGGCTGAATAAATCTTACAGATATCTTTGTGAGGGACGCACGACGCCCGCGGCTCTCCGACGAGGAACGGCAATATTTTACAAGTTTTTGACAGTCGATATGGCTTTCCTAAACGGCACCTGCCCACTGTGCTGATGGCCGATCGCCAATGCTTTTGCTCAAAAAATGTTTGGTTTCAAGTTAATTACTTTGCAACTTTCGAGCGTTTTTATGTTTGCCGTTACTATTGTGTTATTAATTTGAAATTATTACCGGTATTACATCTAAATTAAGCGTATTTTATTTATGCATGTGCGGTTTTTTCTATATAAATAGTGCTATTTATTTTTAGATATAGTTTTATAGGAATGTTTCCTTCAGACTTGTTCGTTTTGTACATGCGAACACCATTAAATGACTATAAAAAAGTAATAGGCGAGCATGTGATAGTCTGCTCTTTCTTACAACATAAAACCGTGTGTTGACGCATAATTAATTTTATACCTACTATAATACTACTACTTTTTATTATTTATCTGAGGCTCGGGTAGATACTAGCTAGACATGTCTTCACGTAAATCACAATTAATGTTCATTAAATCTCCAAAGTTCTGTTCAACGTCCTTCGCTTAGTATCGCCTTCTAAACTAGATGGCGCTAGGTTCGCACCTAGAAAACAAATGCTAAGTAATGGCTCCAACTGTTTTATTACTGTAATAAAATATAGCCTAGAGCTTGATGCGCGAAATTTATTTGTTTTTAACTACGAAACGGTTTGATATTTGACTTTGCTAGGACAAAACTAACATTAGTAAGATAAATTAATATTCAAAACAAAGGTAAATTAATAAGTTTTGTGAACCAGTTGTTGAATGGCCATTTACGTGTTTACGATCAATTAATACCTACTCAAATCAACTAAGTTTAATCAAAGGAACAGAAAAAATGCGATCACAGTGGAACCACTTAATAAATTGTCTGGGACTTGTATGAAGAAAAAAAGTGTATAAATCGAGTCACCAATAACACTATAGTATGGAGTTTATGGCACTGCCCTTGAAGTGTTATCGGGCGACGATTCTTTATTGACACTATAAATGTGGGAAACATACGGGGACGGTTTACTGCCGCGCGCGGTGCTGCAGCGCGCAGAGCACGCTGTGTGCCCGGGGCGTATCTTGACGAGTGGGGGTGAATTGCCGATAGATGGAGTTAGGGATATGTAATAGGGAATAATTTCTTCCGAAACATATCTACTGCACTTATTTAATTTCCCAGTTCTTTATTACACGCTAAAAATAACTCAGCATTAATGAAATCACTTTGTGAATTTTATGTATTTGAAATAATCCTTCGTATTCCTCAACATATTTTGTCACTACAGATAATCACAAAAAACAACATTATCATAAAGTTTTATTGGTTTTGGTACTCAAAGTTTCATCTGGCGTCCAGTGGGCTGTCCCTTATCAAGTCCCGTATATTTCCGTCATTACGTTGACTGATTTACAAGGCTTTAGCGGAATATGTCCGTCGATCCTGTCCTCTGTCCACAGCCACCGGCCCAATAATCGTTAAGACAAGACGCGTTAATACCTTATAAGATAAAAATGTATACTCTACATATTGATGGGTCTACAATTGGTTTATGATGTCGGTGTCCAAGTACTGGTGTGTGGCGGTCAGTTAGATGTTTGTTGTGATTGAATTAAATGGAAGGAAACTGTTTTAAAGGGTGGAAGCTGGATCTTACTCTTGAATTTAGTAAATGAGAACAGAAAACGTTATTAAACAAAATTCGTTCTTTACTAATCATGAGTGTTTTTCAAATCTTTTATTTTTAGGGTCATCATCTATTATGATGAATCATATATATCACCTTTTATTTTGAAGGTAGAATAAGTTATTTACTTCAAGATCCCTAAAGAATATAAACCAATGAAATTAATATCAGTGAGTTGTATCATTAATATCATTTGTACACACGTTACTGACAAACAAAACTTTCCTCTTTATAATATTGGTGTGATTATCATAAACACAGTCGACAGGAGAGTCGCACGTACATGCGAGTGTGCAATTTATTGAATGTCTCTGAACAAACATAAATAACCTCTTATACATTAGAGGGAAGAATTTTATTAGTATGCATTCACATTTCCGGTCTCTTGAATCACATTAACACGAAGCATTTTATGTATATTTGCAATCGGAATAAAATTTTTGGACATGAAAGTTTGAAGAAAAGAAGTTAACACATTTTTGGATGTCGCCCATCACAAATCACGGGCCCACTGGGCCACACCTACACAGATGCCGGGCATATCACAAGTTATTTTATCCGTGCCCGTGTATGTATCTTGTTAAACAAAACAAAATTAATCAAAAACGCCCAACAATGGTAATCGAGAGACAGTGTCCGTCATAAATCCAGGGTCCCTATCACTGCATCGCACATCACTGTATCGCATTACGACATTGTCTGTTTGATATCGAATTTATTACGAGGGGCTTATTCGAATCACTCGGAACACGTCAGCCGGCATCGCTTGCCTCTCATAAATTGTGTGACATATCGTTCGAGTTCCGAGATTTTTCTGTATAAAACTGTCGACGTTGTTATGCGTTTCGATAAGCCAGTACACAACCCTAATAATGAAGGATTAAGGTTTAATTTAAATTTTGACAGCGGCAAGTTGAATTTTGCTCTCGATATCTTGTCGTGTCTTGCCTCATATTAATGACGGTTGTTTTTTTAATTTATCGTGAATATTTTCGAATGTGTTTAGTGACTTGAGCCATTGGATTTTTTGATTTTACTCATCGGTTTCAAGAAGTGATCGCCGGCGATCGAGATAATCTTTTAAAATTCAATTAAACGCGGTACTAAACATTTTGTCCAGAATACCTCCGATGTGAACACACTGGGTTAGTTAGTTCACATCACTTAGCTTTAGTACTTTGATAAAATATGAAAAAAAAAACGAAACCATGTTGTGTGATGGGCATGTTTTCTTCGAACTTTATTCTGTGAGTTTTTTATACCTTCAGTCTTAATTTGACATCTGGCCTCTTGACACATGTTGCACTTTTTGAAGAGGTGGCAATCTTCGATTGGTCGATTTAGGTAACCAAGTCCTTTAGCCAATTTTATTGCAGTTTAACTACCTATTTAAGTTTACTCTCCCAATTAAAAATATTTCTGGAAAATATTAACGTAATGTGATAATTAATTATATTATTTCTTTTCTTCCAGATGAGAGGGAGTGCCCAGGAGGGAAAGTGGAGCGACCAGTAGAGATGCGCTCCAAGCAGCAACCGCGCCCGTCCTACCGTTGGCTCAACACGAACGAAAACGGTCAGTTCTTCTAAAATAATGACACTACGTTCTTTATTAATCTTAAGTATTATGTGTCTAGACATGTATAGAGTTTGTATCATCTTCTGGGAAATATTTACATAAAGTGTAGTCTAGGTTGTCTTCAGTTAAGCTCTCTATGTTTGTAGTATTGAACTATTAGACTAGACTTAGTATGTGAACGGAATAGGTACATATTATGAAGACAATAAGTTCAAATAGATGTTATTCAAGGGGTTTGTGAAGAATATACGGTGTGTCTCAATAATTCAGCGTTGAGAAATGCATAATAAACTGCATGTAAAGACGTACGCCAATCAATCAAGGACTGTTATACAAAACGTTGTGAGGTCTCAATCAGTAGACACCACCTATTCTCAGACAATCACATAATCACCTTATACACGCCTATTTAATCAAAATCAAATGCACACACACAAACATACTGCTTCTAAAGCTTTACTTTTTACACTAACACTTCATTTTCAACCTCTAACACATTGTTTTTAAGCTGAAATTCGCTCGACATGCATTTTGTATCAGAATAATTTGTCGCAGCGAACAATTGAAACTGGGACCGTGACGTGACGATTCTGAATATCCAACTAAAACTCGCAATAAATATTAAGTTATGACCATAGAAAAAAAAACGTGGTATACAAAACGCAAATGTACTAAGTAATATTTCATAGGTCTTTTTGTATGAAACTAAGCCACCGTGAAGCGATAAATAATATTTATTTTCGCTATTATACGGGTTTTTGTCAGTTGTAATGGGTGTAAAGCGCTGAGCGGGTTGGCGACTGCGGCCCCTAGAGCCGCGTCACTTGCTAGTGTGTGACGTCACAGGCTAGTCGTGATTGAAGTGACGTCACGTGTCTCCTTGAAGATACTACAATTCAAAATTATACTCAAAGTGAAGATTACACGAAACTTCTTAGGTAGACGACGCTAATATTATCGATGTTTAATGTTTCGTTTAATTAAAAAAGGGTTACGGGGGTTTTATTAAAGATCAAGTATTAAACAACTTTTTAATACATTTCGTCAACAAATGACGTCTCAGACACTCACCAGACAGTCATTTTAAAACATCGCCATCTCCATTCTTCTCGCGATTTTCGTAGCCCAACATGCACTACGGCCTTGCAGTGGTTGTTCGTATGCGCCGGCGCCGCAATCATTGTATATTAATATATACGTTAATATTTATAAACACCGTGTTACTAACTTGGTTTTTTACTTACTAATTGGAGTAGTAAAAGCCTGTCAGCCTGTCGGAACATGAAAGGGATTTTATAGTCTGAAACTGCACGACTGAAGATTTTTACAGTTCATTTGATTTGAAAACTATTAAAGTACAATTTATTCATGTTTTTATGGTTTAATTCATGTGTGAAGAATTCAACTACCATACTGATTGTGTATGAGAATATGAGATCGGATTTTATCTTTGGGGAGGACAATAATTTTGATGTTTTCAGTGTAAAGTCAGACTCTTGGCAGTCCAAGGGTCCAATAGTGGTCCTTGAAGACTGCCCAATAGTTGTCTCGTAATAAAGTTGACTTTCTATGACGTGGTAGTACAAGCTGTTATTCACCCTTTAGAAATCACGTAGGTAATTTATATTCGAAGACAAATTTGAATGATCCGGGTCGGGCAAAGTATAACTAGGTTTTTTTTTTAAAAATCTCAGTGGTAGCACGGAGTCTGGAATTATGCCCGGAATACGGCAATAGGCTTACCCTGTATTTCATGGGAGTCCTAACTATAATAGTGAAAAGTGAGTGTTATATTGTACAGTGGCATTAAGTGCCGTAATGTGCGCCTCTGTCTACAATTTTGAATTGTATCTATTTATGAATCAGTGGCTATTACTGTATACATATTAAATTCATAAATGAAGTATTGAATACAATTGAGTACTAAACAATAGTATAGCAATAAGTACAGGTGTGCCAGATAACAATGTCAGATCACCTTGGGTAAAGATTTATGACTCGATTTAGACAAAGTTTCAGGTTCATTTTATTGATCAATTATATTATTTAAGTATTGTTTGCCAATTACATCTGACACTTACTTAGCATTCATGTTTTAATTATTGTTTGTTGGAATAATTAAGATGTCTTTAAGAGATGATATTCCGAAGACTATTTTATTCATTCCTAACTAAGAAAATCCCACTGAATTATGATAGATAGTTTTCTTCAAGAATTCGGCTAAGATATGTTAAAAGATTTCGAATTCCAAAATTATTACTTTCCATGACAGATTTCGAAGAACAATGAATTGATCAATGAAAAAATAACAAATAAACCTAATCCCCGAATCTCCCACAATCCTTAAATTCCTAATTCCCAAAAGGCCGGTAACACACCTGTAACGCCTCAAGTGTTTCAGATGTCCACGGGCGGTGCACATTGCTTACTATCAGGTGACCTCTCTGCTCGTTTACCGGCTTATCCCAAAAAAACCTTTGGGAGTTGCATTATGTGACCAACAGAAGAATAAGACAGTTCATCTTCAACTAACAACAACGAAGAAACTAAACCAAAAATATTTAAAACAATTTGTTCACCTAATTAGCATACTTAACCTGCTACCTTACCTGTTCCTCAACCCCTCTTGAAGCCCACAACTGACCACACAACGTCACCAGCTGGTAAAAATTAGCGTGACACAATTACTGAACAATACAATAAAATGCTGACCATAGTTCAGTTAAATTTACTGCTCATCCTTAGCTTGATTTACAGCCTTTCTCTTTGTCCTATTGTCAGCTATTTGTAGACTAGTTACTGTGTTATTATAATGCTAATGGGTTATATAGAAAATGTTGATGTAATGTAAGTTAAAATTATTGTAATGTTTTCGTGTAATATTATGCTTTTAGCATGTGGGTGCCAAATGAATTTACTAAACTTTTTTAGGTTTCTTATCTCTGTCTTTTTAGTTGATAACCTTTGAAGAAGCTGAAGAGTACCACTTTGTTTATTTAGATTTTATAGTAACAATACTCCACATCGGATTTGAAATAAGTTTTCTAAACAACACTCGGAATATTGCAAATTTCACCGGTATCAAATCACATTCCCAGCTATACAAAACCTCAGGTAGATATAAAATTATTGATTTATACCAAAGCTAATGAATAACTTATAGTCCCGAACAATTTCAACAGTTTGCCGGAGTGTCGGGTATGGCCCTTTACGCGTTTTTACGCTTTCAACAATCATTTGACCGACCAGAAGTTTTATTGCCCGTTTTTATGTATGTGAGAAAACAATTGTTAGGCCACAAACTGTCGAGCCACAATAAACCTTAGCAAAGCACTTTCCTTGTTTTTACGACTTTAACTTTGACTTCCAGTCTTTAAGTTTTTATTGGCAACCCTTTATTGGTTTTGACGAAGTTGTATGATGTACCCTCATTGTGCGCCGCCTATTGATGAGCTGTGTGACTGAACGTTGCGGTGGCTATTGTAAGGGCGGCTCTCTTTGTTATGTTTATTACTTAAGTTTTTCTACCAACTGTAACCAGTAGCACGGAACGTGATAGCTCGTGCAATTTATTTTTAATATAAACCCTCTGTAACCAGGCGGTTGGCTCACATCATTCTACGCTAAATTGACGGCTGCCCATAAAACTATATCCCGTAACACAACATTGATTCACGTAAATAAATATGGACAATATAAAACGGAATCAATCACACCGCAAGCATATACATTCATAAACCGCCTTCATAAAAATCGGAAAAAAATCTGTCGAATCCGCATAAAAGTAGTGTTTACAAACAGTGAGCGCGGTTAATCTTTACGATCGGCCCCGAATAGGCCCGAATACACCCGATCGCCTGATTTATAGACTTCGGAATAGCTCCCGTCTTTTAAACGATCGGCCCGATGCCCGCTGAATTTACGGCTTCATAGAGTTTTATAACTGATTTTATCAGTCGTAAACTTTTACAAGGCGATTTGGTCGCTATTCATTAAGGGCGCTGATGTGCAGCCGCTCTATGGCCCATACTCCCGACAAACGGCGACTGATGCCGTGGGACCCAGTAGACGCATGACTCACGTAATAGCTACTGGTAAGTCTAAATAAATGTTTCACTAAAACGATTATGACATTTTTGTTAACCAAATTATATTTTTAGTAGTTTAATAACTTACTTCCACAGTTAAATATTTATGAACTATAAAAACCTATAGCATTCGCAATAAACAATCTGACGAACGATTTCCGTGACATACTAAAACTTGTAATAAAAATATAATGATGTCAAAACACATCCGTTGTTTGAACAGGTTCTAGTAAACTTCGGTCAATTATTGGATGGGGCCATAAAGAGTGACGATTACGTATAAATCATTAAGTGAATAGATTTAGGGCCTGCCCTGAGGCCGTAAACTGAGTTTAGTTGTCAATAAACGCGCGTAAACAGTTGTCGGGATGGCGTTAGATCGTTAACTGTGTAATCGTCGGCTGCGTGGCCGCACACGAAGCAGGGGTTATGAATTGTTCTGCAATTTGTTGCACATTGTTAAATATTTTGGTAATTAGAGATTTTAGTAGTGGTTGATGTGTTAGTAATGTATCTGTTTGCCCAGCCAGTGGACCATTTGTGTGTTTATAGCATCATGTTTACGATCCCTGGTGGTCGAGTATTTTACTGCGAACGTTATTACAGCCTCGATTAGCTGAAAATATATTTTATTTACATTATTGTAATATAATAGTTAGTTATGTACATCACTTTCAGAGACTAATAGGTACGTAACACACTGTTATTGACGAAGAGTTCCATTAACCTGACAAGAGTTTTCAAAGTTAATATTTTAGAATTGAACACTGAACATATAATACGGGATGTGAGAGTGCGATGGGTTTTATGATAACTATATTAACATATCTTTTCCTTAGTGTATCAACAACTAAGTTAGTAATTTTCGCCTTCACCCAAAATTTTGCTTATATAATGACCATAACTTTA